TGTTGCTTAACAAAAATAAGCAGATCACTGAAAGCTTGCCAAATTTCGAAAACTGCCACCATAACCTATTTGGATGTAGCAATGGTTCTGTTACCCTACTCACCCATCTTTTTTTTTTAGCACAGAGATGCTGAAAGCTAGTCAGCAAAATCGTAGAAAAAAAGATATGACAAGGAACTTTGTGTTACATGTCAAGTTTTTTTCTTATCCTATAAATCCTCATTACATAAAGCAAACTACTGGGTGGTCATCGTGGGTGTGCGCTACATAAATGTGACATTGTTGTAAGCAGCTCTTATCTATTCCCAGCCTCTCTCTCTCTTACTGATGTTCTGATCTGCTCTTTGTAACAAAAACTAAAAATGCAGTCTGCCAAAAGTCTCTGGACAAGACCACTTGCGAGAAGAAGACGGATCAGACACACCAGAATGAAATCACTGTATGGTGGGAGAGAGGGTCAAAGAAAGAGAGCAAGGGTGCAGAGAGAGAGAGCATGAAATAGAGATGTGTGTGTTCCTCTGGGCTGACCAGTGACCATGTCTGTTTGTTTGACTGTTGCCTTCCTGACCGCTACTCTGACCAGACCGCTGGAAAAACAGTGTTTCTCCCACAGCAAAAACATGGATGCAAAATTTGGTCACAGGCCTCATTCTGCTGAGTGCGGACACAAACAAAAAATCAACATCTTAGAATTGGTCTGGAAGTAGTTATCTATAGGAGGTCTTCTCTTAAGAGAAGTACTAATTGAATGTTTAATTTCATTGAAAAATCCCTCAAACAGTATGCATCTTGTAATGTGCAACTCCACTTCCAGTGTGTTTACTGATGGTTTGGTTTTAGACAAAAAGAATCTTACAGAGGGCGCTCTGTCTGAGCAGAAGCAGCCTGAACTTTCTTGGTAAGAAATACCTTAAAAGCCCTGATTGATAGATGTTTGTAAAGATTCTCATCCTGGTCACGGGATATATAGATGTACTAATTTTGTAAAACTAATTTCTTGTTTTTATATAATATTTTTATAACATTTTAGATACATTGAAAAAATTATGGATGTAAAAAGCTTCTTATCTTTGTTTTTACATCTCTCTATGATTGCTCGAGACTTGGTCAACAAAGTGCAGACTCTCATAGAAAACAAGACAAGAATAAGCGCATGGCTCTGTGTGTGTGTGTGTGTGTGTGTGTGTGTATATGCTGTAAGCACATGGGAAATCATTTAGGGTAAGAAAACATTAGCTCTGGTTTGGCAGTGTGTGACTGTCAACCATTAATGCTTTCTCCATAAACAATTTCCAACACCCCCCCCCCCAAAAAAATCACTAAATATTTCTTCCCCATAGACAATTAAAAGCAGCACATTTGTCCATTTATCTTCACTACTGTTTCGCTTTTAATACTTAATACTTATTGTTGCAGTTCAGCTTCTTTCAATTATGATTTCATAACATTTCTGCTTTATGTGACATTAAGAAGTTATTCAACTACATATCAAGATTGATGATCTTGGAGCAGTTTGTTTTACTGCAGCAGCAAGGAATAACAAATGACATTTCATAAAAAAATATATTAATGGAGCAGGAGCTTCACCATGTTTATATGGTGGTTTTGCAAAGTTAGGTTAAGATTAAGTTGTTGCAATTACTTTTTCAGATATTGTCATCAGTCCTGACAAACAAACATGAAGGAGTCTTCCAATAAACTCTAAAACAGCAGGAGACCCGAACACTTTCCTGCTTAACTCTTGTGACATCTTAAGTTTCCTTTGGCAAAGCACAATCTGCATCCAACCAGACAATTTGACAGGGAATAAATGACCATGTATAAACTGTTTTGTTAACTTGTTGTGGCAATAAAGCTTATTATAGGGAAAAATGAAAACCCTCAACAATTTTCCACATAGGTCAGTCCGGAATCTGCAGGCCAACCCCTGCAGGCTAATGGGATCATTACTCGGGAAGAGAAATATGCTTACTATGTGGTTGCGCTTTAAAAAAAAATATATATAAAGCTAATTCCTCTGAATCCAATTCAGTTTGAAGTCATGTCTGGAAGAATTTCAGGTAATCATCATTTACCTAAAGCTTGCAGCATTACTATTGAAGTGTCCACTTCTTTCCTAGTTTCTGATCACTGCAACACATCACTGTTCACTACAGTTATTACAAAGATACGCAAACACACAATGGCAGACAATAATCACATCCTGGACCTGTCGAGACGTTCTTTTTACAGATTCAGAGAGACATGAGATGGTCACTGATGAGACTGTTCTTACACCTGATAGTAACAGGGAAGTTGAGTGCGCCGACATAATGGGCTCCATTGTAGTGTGTATGTACGTGTGTCTATGTGTGTGTGTCCTCTGACCCCTCCAGGGATAATTAAGGACACATTTTACCCAAGTCTGTCTTGGGTATTGCTTGGGGTTAGGGGAGTTTAGAGGTGTGTGCGTGTGTGTGTGTGCGCACACATGTGCATGCACCTTAATGTGCCCTATCCCGTTCCTTGTACACGCCGACCCAACCTGCCCTCCGTATGTCTAAGACTAGTGCTTCTGGGCTGATTGCCCGTATCACTTTCACTCACCAGCATACACATACACACACACACGTAACTACACACAGAGGCGCACACCTTTTTAGACCAAGCCCTTGTAAAGGCACCTCCTTAGGGACATGCTGTGAAATGTACTCCTTGTTAGGGCTGTATGTGTGTGTGTGTGTGTGTGTGTGTGTGTGTGTGTGTGTGTGTGTGTGTGTGTGTGTGTGTGTGTGTGTGTGTGTCTGCTTTTCCTCAGCTGTTTCCTGCCAGCTCAGAGACCAACAGACTGTGAAGGCCTCTCTCTCTCTCTCTGCTCAGTGTTCGGTGCTTTTCTGCTTCTAACTGACCAAAGAAGCTCTGGATGAGGAAGTTTCTGACGATGTCATCACAAGGAAAATCTGACTTGGAAATTGATGGCACCAAACTTTGATCCTCTCTCCTTCATACATATCCCATAATGAAGGAAATCAAATTTGGGGGCAAACAGATTTTTTCCAAAGAGTATGTGGGCTTCATTGTAAAAATATCACAAACTTGTGAGTGTGATGAACTAGAAATTTATGATATGCAAAACAAACGCTTCAATTCAAGCATTTAGCTGTACTACATAGCCATTCAATGGTAATGTTGACACTATTTTTTTTTCTTTACATCTGATGATCTATTTATGACTAATGGTGACATTTGCTCTTCCATCCTCTTCTGTTCTTTAGTTTATTGTTTAATGTGAAAAATTGTGTATTTAAATTTTGCATCAAAAGTGTGATTTAAAAAAACAAGTTGGATTTAAATTGATATATGAACACTTGATTTTTGGTAATTATTTGATAATTTCATTAATAACCTTCATATTTAAAAACTAAACATCTTTGGGTTTTGGACTTCTGGTCAAATGAAACAAGCAATTTTAATCACCACATTGGGCTCTGATGATGGGCATTTATCACAATTTCCGGACATTTTCTAGACAAAATGATTCATCTATCAATTGAGAAAATAAAGAAATAAGATTATAAAAATTATAAAATGTTTCCTGTCCATGTTCCTCCGTGGACAAAACAAAACACCTATTTACTGTACAGGTACCCTGCTAGACACAAAATAAAATAACGTTCACAGATGTATGGCCATCATAACTAAAAAGTCATTTACGCTTGCATATATATTTAGCCTAATAGGAGTTTTATTCTTTCTCTGCTATTCGGTGCATAATTTATTTGAAATTTTGCATATAAACACATTTTACTTGAAAGTAGGTAAATATAGTGTCATGCTTGATGTTTTTCTTCTGGTTTTGTATGCATGTTATTGATGAGTTGTGTGTTTTAGTGTAATTTTTTTATGCTAAACATGTAGGGCTGTCCTGCGTGGGAAGGGTAAAATGTCTGGCATGACATAAAAAGAACCAACTAACTTTATCTGGACTGAAAGCCCATCTGAGTAAAAGGTTACAAAATTGCCTCATTTTCTTTATTGGGTGCAAACAATGCTCCGATTAAACAACCAGGGGCAAGACAAACTGTCTGCCTTAGATATACATCGTCCTATTAAGAAACATAAACACACACACACAGAGGTATCCACAGTTAAGCAGACAACTTTGTGGATTCTTCTTTGCTGTTATCTGGTCCCTTTATCCTCCCTGTTTTAAGTCAAGTCTCTTATCAGATGGGTGTTACTTATGAGGTTGCAGCATAGTTATAAAGGAATTCAAAGAATTTAACTGACACATCTAAAACTATGTGATAGGACTCCAACGGGCCACATGTCTGTTTCTGGTCAGTCCTGAACTGATAACAAGGACGTTTTATTGAGCCTCTGCTTTAGAAAAAGACCCGACACCAACAATTTATTTGGAGCCTATACTGATAACGTTAGATCATGGGTTTAGTCTAATCTAGTTTAGCTAAGTCAGCTAAGCCACTGATAGATTGCTGGGCTGCTTATCAACACCAGATTCCCAAACAGAATAAACAACAAGAGGGAATAAAAAGTAAGTAAGAGAGACATGTAGTGACATCCAATACAGGAAAGGATTGTGGAAATGTATTTTTTACATGTATTATATACTATATGTCTATATCTAAAATGAGCTGTATTCCCTTGCAGATTAGAAACAGAAAGTTAATCAGCGAGTTACACCTCTCTGATCAGCTGGGATTTCTGTCCCCACTTGTTTTTGTTTTCTCTTACTCTCCATGAGTTTGTTAAGCTGCTCAGACTAAGACACCTTCTATTTCATTTGCAGAAGGGCTCTCTGAACAAAAAGAGGAATTTAAGTCATTTTGTTAGAGGGATAAAAGTAATCGTATTGAGTACTCTGATGTACGGGCACAATAAAGAGACTTATAAAGGCCTAAGCCTTTTTGTCTGACGTTTTAGCCTGAAACCCTGGCATCTGGAGAGCTAATGCTTTAATATCACAGAAATGTACTTTATAATGTGTATTTAACACCAACCTGCTCCAAAGGCGAAGAAGAAGCTCTTGTCTGGGTGTTCCTCCAGCAGTGCCTTGACCCTCTTTCCCATCCTCTCATTCCTCTTGTAGATGAGCTCCTGTCGAAAGTAGCTGTCTATTTCCTGGGCGGTCACCTGCTCGCTGGGTGGCAGCGTCACGTTATTGAAGTTAGGGACCTAGGGTTGCAATGGTGATGATTTAGTTAAGCCATGACAGTGTAAAGGAGAAGAGGGAGAGGAGATTTCTTTTGTCTTTTCCAGAATGTTTCATTCAGATTACAGTAAGAAAAAGCAGAAATTCCAAAAACACATTACACAAACCTTGCTCCACTGGCACAGAAAATAGTTAAACATATTTGGAATGACCAGGGTGCAAAGGGATTGCTGAGAGGATGAATGACTATTAATAGCAAGAAAGACATGGCAAGGATGATGGAGGGCCAACGAAGAGCAGAGCAAAGAACAAAAAAATTAAATTGGCAATAGTATAGAGAAGCTGGTAGGAAGGAGTGTGTTTAAGTGGGTGTGGGGGATGAAAGGTCGCTCAGAGGGTTAGGGGTGAAGGTAGAAGGTCAAGGGTCGTGACACTGGGATACTCCAAAAGGTCAAGGGGTCAAAATAACTCCTCGCTTATTAACTAGAGTGAAAGTAAGTCTATTGCTAGATAAGATAAGACTGACCTGTGAGGTGTCATGATTGAAGATGATGGAGTTGAGATCTCCACAGTTGTAGTGCCTGATGAGGTCTTCAGTGGTGTACGGGACCTGTAGGCTTCCCGCCCTTAAAGACTCCTGCTGTAATAACGTCTGGTTCAGAGCAAAGATCACCTAGAATGAGACAAAGACAACTAGTTATTTATCGATTTAGTTCAGCCCTGATGCAACATCATAGTTGTACTGATTTAGCAACTAAATGTGGAAACATCTGACTTGATAGTGTTGATGCAATGAATGCATAATACAATATGATGATATATGATTTGAGATACAGGATTGATAATACATGACTTTGCCCATGATTACCTGATCTGCATTTGTCGCCTCTTACAAGTACAAAATACAAATATGTTCACTCAAGTTAAAGAACTCCCTTGAGACGTTGAAAATTACTCAAGCACTACTAAAGGAAGACATGTTACTCATGTTTCCAGCTCTGAAGTAGGATTATAGATGGAAGCTGTAACTTTAAGTGACAGCAAACAAAAAGGACAAAAAAGTCAAAAGTGGTGAACCGATTAACTGACCCATCAATAGACCAACACATATTCACACATGTCACAAGGGAAACACACACCTGGATATATTAGAATGAGGCAAGAAAATCAGAAGTACATTTGTCTTTGGTCATTTTGATTTAATTATATATTTTTATTACACCGTCTTGAGTGACAGAATCACAGATGTGATCTAAAGCACAAAAATCCTTGGATTTACTGAACTATTATAGCAAAGGAGACAGTCTGAGTTTGTCCTGCCAAAATAACTCTCTGCTGTGCTGCAGAGATTCAGCTATTGTGCAAGCGTGAAATCAGCCAGTGTTGGGTGAGAGGGCCCTGGTGAGCCTGCCGCCTATGATCTGTACCGCAAGGACTGCATACATGCACACAAATACACTTAAACACACACACACACTGATACAGCAAGACTGAGACAGACACACACCACCGCCACTCACCTCAGCAAATGGTCTCCCTCTGATTTTTCCACCACATACACACACACACACACACACACACACACACACACACACACACACACACACACACACACACACACACACACACTTTTACCCTGCAAGCCATTGATGTTGATTCCCATAAAGGAGGAAAGTTTGCATGGTTTATTTGTTTCTCAATGGGAACTATCAGTCAAAGTGAAGATGTGTTTTGTCAGCTGTGGACGTATGTAAATGTGTCTACAGTATGTCTGCATGTTTTTACAACTCAGTGTACACAACCGTACACATTCATGCGAGTGTGTGTGTGTGTGTGTGTGCACTCTCAGATCTTTGTCAAATGAATTCTGTATTGATATGCATACCCATAGGCCAACCAGGCCAACCCAAGTGGCTGGGTTTTTTTTTTTCGTGTTCTGTTTTCTAAGGTGCTCTGATGACATTTTTCTCTCTGGGCTGGCCCATTGTGGGAGCCCCGGTATAGCAGAGGAGAGGAGGGCAGCATGGAGCAGATGCCTTCTTGTCAGGGGACAAAGAACCTCTCCGTCACCCTCTCTTCTCCTCTCGTCTGTGCTCCCTCCAGCTTTCATCGGCCGCGCATCAAAGTGGCGCTCTGCATATGAAAAGGGCTCCGTCTTTATGCCACGCAAATTAGCCTATTGCCGCCCCTCCCTGACTCATTTCACAAAAACACCCTCACATCTGTGCCACGTCCGTGAAGGAAGGCCCTCATCTGCAGGGTCTCCTCTTTTTCTCAGCTCTCTCTTCTCGTCTTTCTCCACTCGCCGTGCCTTTCAGCCCCTTAAATTATGGCTGTCAAGGGAGGAGGAGGAGGTGGAGGATGGGGGGGGGGGGGTCATAGCCAGAAGTAAAAAAAGGTTTAGGGAAGGAAAGAGAAAGACAGGGAGAAAATACAAGCACGAAAGTGAGGAAGGATACAGAAAACAAGAGGAGAAAGAAGAAGGAAAGAAAGAAAGCCTTAATGAATGATTTCTTTCTTTCCGCTGTGATCCTCCTCTTCTGTTAGTGCACTGTGGGTCAGTGGGTGCATTTTCCCACTCGGCCCCTTTCATCAGGTCCCCCTGTTTCTTCTTCTACTCCACTGCTGCCCCCTATCCCGCCCCCTCCAGCACGCACACACAGACACACAGACACACCCCTTGCTGATATCAAAGCAAGCGGAGCCAATGAAAGTCAATAATTGGTCTTTGTCATGGAAATGTCCCCTCTTGTTGCGATGGAGTGGGGTGGGTGTGTGCATCCAGAGCAAACATCATCACAGTCAGATTCCCACATGTGGAGATCTGGAGTGTTTGGCAGCTCGGGCTGAAAAAACTCTCACTGCTCTCGCTCTGGAGTGTGTTGGATTTGCAAGAAAAGTGGGAAGCATGGTTAGTAGAATCTCTTTGGGGAGAGGTTACATTACTTGCATTTATGTAATGGCTGATTACTTTCCGACAGTCATAAAACACGTTGTCCGTTTAGAGAACTGCATTAACAAAGAAAGATGGCAGCAATTATGTTTTAAATTGAGTAGAAAACACTGTAGGCACAAGAAGCAAATAGCAATTTGCAAGCATCATTAGAAGTTCCACAAAAAGCAGATGACACGCTAAACCCAAGCACCTACACCATACAATTACAGCAGTGATGAAGCATAGTGAGCAGGGCTGTCGCTATCATTTCAACATAAAAAGTAGAAAAGAATATTGATTCTGTAATCATCTATTCAAATTCAAAATTCACAGTCTTTTACTCCACTGAAGTTACACCCAGACCTACTGCACAGCAAAAAAGGGAATTGTTTTCTTCAAAAACGTAAAACGGAAGCAACTAAGTAAATGTTCTGAATGGATAATCACAACCCCAAAGGATCTGAGAAACAATATGAAATGTGAAACTCTAATGCTGGGATCAGACTACACAATATTAAAGTCTTTAGAGTTGGATTAGGTAATGATTGAGTCATAAATTCTTGCCATGACTTAACTAACAGACATGGAAATGTTGAACCCTAAACAATCATAGCTTGCAAGAGGTACTATAGGTTGATCGGGAAGGAGGAGCCAGAGACCGGCATCATTCTTCTTTTGCTTCACCGTGTAGACAGTTGTCTGCAATAGAGCGCTCTGTGCTCTTACATATCAGTTATGTAGTTTTTGTCATGATGCATCAATTGTCTTTCATTATCACTCACATGCCAGTCACTTATTTCGGGCCATTATTGAGTTGATAGCATGTAGTCTGAACCCGGAATAATATTTTCATTGACACGACAACAAACCTGAAAGGTCACCTGCTATCATAGTCTGATTTCAAATCCTTCACCACAAAGCTTGTCACCGCTCAGTGATATTCATCTGCTTTCTCCTTGCTCATCTTCCCGTTCATGGCTAAAATGAAAGGAGTTTCTGTATCTCCTATCTAAGAAACATATATATTGGAATAATTTGTAGACATCATTCGTTTACCTTCAATACAAAAAGGTGAATGTCAGCATATCTGTGTTTTGTACCTGAGCGTGAGACGTTGCTGTTGTTAGCGTTAGTTGTGTCTGGGGCGTCGTTGCAGCTGGGAGGCCGCAGCACTTTGAACACGGTGCATTCCTTCAGATTCACGCCATGTTGAAGAAAATGCTTCGTCATAATGGAGCTTCTTCCTCCCTCGCACGAAATATCCTTACTGCAGGTGTTGCATTTTGCTGCGTCGTTATCTTTTTTAGTGAAGCTAAGGCAAACTTTTGAGCATGTTGCAGGAGTGTAAACAGAAGTACTCTCTTCTCGCATGCTTTGTTGAGGTATTGCAAACATATGATTTCCATTTTTACGGTCTATGTGGAAGGTCCTGGCAAATAAGTGCAACCTTTATGGACTGTAAAATGCTCACTGCAGTTCAGTCGGGAGTGCGACTCAAATATGCAAAAAGTTAGGAACCGATAAGCAGAATTGAAATGCAAGCGTCTTACTGAATCCACAGTTCTTGAAACTTTGGTAACAATTCCAACATTGAACCAGTTCTTTATAACCAACCCTAATCTGCTGCAATGGGAGCAGCTTGCAAACACCAAGATTAATTCCTTGTATGGTAAGGACTCTGGCTAATTGATGTTATTCTGATTGTAAATGCTGGCACTGGACTTGGGGAGTGTTTCAGTAACTTCATTTCCAATTGAATTTTGATAAGAAACTAAGGAGGAGCATGTGTGTGTCTGCACAGAACTATCTTTCTCTTGGTGTGTGTTTTTTCTTGTTTATCTGGCTGATTGTGTGCGTGTGTGAGCTGATAAGTATGTCTCTATGTTGAAACAAGCATTTTTAAAAAGTAGCCTGTCCACACCAGCCATGCGCTCAAACAGCCACACACACACACACACACACAGCACTTGCAGCCAATTCATTGAGCCTTGGCCATCTCCCAAGTACAAATGAAGACTTCCAACAGCTCCTCTGTTTCCTCCTGACTCCCTGATGTTATCAGAGTAACACAACTCTCCCTCTCTCTCTCTGCCATACACACACAGGATAGCAGAGAGACAGAGGGGGGGAGCAGTTTATGATTTCTACTAGAAATCAGCAGATCAAGACGCACAAAAGCCGAACCAATAAGAGACAGAAAGAAAGAGAAAGAATGGACTCTCAGTAATGATGTAGACAGTGAAAGATCAGAGGAGGAGGAGGGCACAGATAGAGATAAAGGTAAACAGAAATATACAGAGATAGAGATTCTGAGTTACTTATGAGTGATATTGTCAGTGAAACATTAGTTAGTAGTTAGTGGTTGAAGAAAGCAGTGACTCTTTGACTGTATATGGAGTACAGTCTTCCATTTACACACCAACAAATTTTATCTTCCAGACAAGTTTTGACAGAAGTAAGAGACACAGATACACAACTGATTTTCAGGGCTGACTAACAAACTACACGGGACACAGTAAATGATGACCTGTTAAAGGTGTTCTGTTTTTTAAAGTTTGCAAATGTCTCACATGGATTATGTTGTCTAAACACAAATTTAAAATTGGCAAAATTCAGATTTAAATCAGCAACGATCTGACAAAAGTTTACAAATCTGGCAGCCGATGCCAACTTTCAGTATTTGACAGTTTTCATCACTCTGTGCTACAGACAGAAAATTGCACAAATATGTATAAAAT